TCTTCGTGTAATGGGCCCTGTACGTCGTCTTCGAGAAATCTTCCCGAGCAAAAATATATTTTGTTTTCGCAAAAACACCAAAGCAATAGCGTTTGAAGAGTTTATTTTGTCAGCAAACATACACAGGGAAGACAGCGATTGAAAATCGCAGGTAAGCATTGCTTTTCATTATTATTTTACTGAAAAATGTTGTTCACTCCGATACAAGCGCCATTTTTAACTACGTTTTTAGAAGTTAACGATACCCTAGAGCGTGGTTAACTTTAACTACTTTTAACTGCAGTTAACGCTAACAACATTTTTATACAACCGACTTATTAACTATGTGGTTAAAGTTAACCAGTATTTAACCACAAAATAGTGATTACAAAAGTGATGAAGAGTTTTATACAATCGGCCCCTGGTTGTCACATTCGAGGTCAAATTGCTACAGTATAGTTCACCTGATACTTTGCCTGTTGTACATAAACGCGGTAAACCGACGGACCATCAGCCAAGACGAACAACCTGCGTACTTCTTCGTCTTGATTGGTGATCCGTTTGTATTTAAATGCCTGCAACAATCCGTATTAGATACGATACTTCGACGCTCATAAATTTTTAAACACGGAAATTCGTGCGCTGTGCTCGAATTCGGGCGGTTTTATGATCGTGTGTCTCGTGTGAAATCGAAAGGTAAATACCGTTTGGAAGCAATGATTTAATCATTTCACAGAAGAGATAATCCGTCAGGCGGATCTTGACGGATGATCTCTAATATTCTCATTTCATCATTTCAACAGTGCATAGGGATTGAATCCGATTGATTGGGCCGCTTCAACCGGTAATATAAATCTACTGTAAATTATAAAGGTTCAACTTACGAGAAGCCAGAAAAGGTGACGGGATCTTCGTCTACAGTTACCGGATCTTTGTCCTCTTCAGGAACATCAATACTGAAATGTCGGGTAAGACGACGTGAGAGTGGAGAAGCTTTAGTTTGGTTCTTATGACGATGATTCAACAACAGTAAACTGACAACAGAGTCCCGAAGATTAGCCTCCAGTGTTCCGCAGCGCACCATTTCGTTTACTAATGCTTCCACGATTGCTGTCATTTCTGTTTCGGCGAGGTCTGTTACTATCGGACATGTTTCGAGAATATCTCGAACATTCTGTAGACCCTGAAGCGATAAACATGGCACGTGTGGTTTACTCCAGCGATCTGATTCTACTGTTTCTTCAAGTGTAATCCATCGTGCTGTTTCCTCCCATTCATCCCTCGCTCCATCACGATGAACTAGTTCTTCAAGTTCAACAAAACCATTTGGTCTACCACATGACATCGCCGTACTTTGTTCTTACGGCATGCCAGTGGCTGTTCTACTTGCATGTAATTGGATAATTGAGTTGTGACGTCATTAATCATTAGTTCTTCCAGAACGCGCGCGCAAATAACGCACGCCATTTTGGAGTCGATAAGTTTTAATTTGCACTTGCTGAAGTAGGAATAAAGTTTAAAATGCAATTAACTTTGAATGCTTGGGATAAGGCATGCGTTCTTCAGACATCATTGCATGCTAACGTTCTATGCAAAGACTACACCGGTTTGTGCTATTTCTTTCTGAAAAAAACTTGTTTAGTTCGTCGCTATTTCACGTTTTTCATTACATTGTCGATATGATGGTCTGGAAGCCCGCAAACTTCAAAGCCACAAAATAGAAGACAAATATTTGATTTTGAAGTGTATGCTTCACCGTGCAAAAATTCTTTGTCTCAACTTCATTATACATGCATAATTATTATTCATTATGCTTGCGCGTATCAACCACTGAGCTATACTATATTACTGGAGGAAGTGCTCGGCAAAAAAAGTGTCCGCAAAAACATGGCGGATTTTCGCGCCATATGACGCCATTTCCATGACAACTGGTTCCTCCGGCTCATGAAATTACCGCTGACCAGGCTCAAT